CAACCAGTTCCTCTGGAGGGCCAGCAGCAGGGCAGAGAGGCCGAGGCCTTCCCCTGACAAGAACCTCAGAAGAGCCCTGCTGGGTCAGACCAGTGAGGGTCCATCTAGTCCAGCATCCTGCCTCACACAGTGGCCAGCCAGTTCCTCTGGAGGGCCAAAAACAGGGCAGAGAGGCCGAGGCCTTCCCCTGATTAGAGCATCAGAAGAGCCCTGCTGGGTCAGACCAGTGAGGGTCCCTCTAGTCTAGCATCCCACCTCACACAGGGGCCAGCCAGTTCCTCTGGAGGGCCAATAACAGGGCAGAAAGGCCGAGGCCTTCCCCTGATAAAGACATCTAGCAGTACGATTCAGAGGCTGACTGCCTCTGAATGTGGAGGTTCCCTTTAGCCACTGATCGGCCTCTCCTCCATGAATCAGTCTGATTCTCTTTTAAAGCTGCCTGTGCCTATCGCCATCACTACATTCTCTGGCAGAAAATTCCACATGTTTTCACCTATGAACCCAAGAGCAGCCATGTTGGATCCAGGGTAGCATCCTGCTTCTAACAGTTGCCGGACAGATCCAGCAGGGAGAAGATTGGATTTATACCCTGCCCTTCACTACCCAAAGGTGTCTCAGAGTGGCTTACGAACTCCTTTCCCTTACCTTCCCCACAACAGACACCCTGTGAGGTAGGTGGGGCTGAGAGAGCTCTGACAGAAACTGCTCTTTTCAAGGACAGCTCTGATAGAACTATGGCTTGCCCAAGGTCATCCAGCAGCAGTATGTGGAGGAGTGGGGAATCAAACCCGGTTCTCAGTTTGGAGTCTGCACACTTAACCACAACACCAAACTGGCGCCCACAGGCCTGTTTGGTTCCCATTCTGAAATCCTCCCGTGGACGAGGTCAACCTACCGATAGAGCAGCCGCTGTGAGAGCCGCAGAGATTGATGTCGGTCTGCGAGATGGCCCCCATGCGGATGTGGTCGAAGGCCCGGGTGAAGAAGGCGGCAAAGGTACTGGCAAATGCTACGGTGCGGCCCCTCGCGGCACAGCCCAGAGCCACGCTGACCTGTGGCAGAGGACCAAGGCATGTTGGTGTGTCGCTGCAAGTGTTATTTCACCGGAGAACCACCCACCTCTTCCGTTTCCCACCCGAGACTCACCATGTTCTGCTCAGCGATGTAGCACTCAATGTAGCGCTCGGGATGGGCCTGCTTGAAGAGCTCCGCGAACGTGGAGTTCTTGGTGTCGCCGTCCAAGGCCACCACCCGATCGTTGGCGCTCCCCAGCTTTGCCAGGGCCAAACCGTAAGCCTTGCGGGTGGCCATCTGAGGAACGGGAAAGCCTGGTCATGCCACAGTCCACTGGGAAGCACCCGGGACTAGCCAACAAGAGGATGAGACACACCAGCGGCCAACTGGCGGACACTGAAGTCCAGAGAACAAGAGGAAAAAAAGCCGTATACATGCACTAAATAATGCAAACACGATACTGTATTTGTGAATAATAATAATAATACATTGCAAAATTGTGTAAAAAATTTAAATGAAAGAGAGGTCCAAAATTTTCTGGACGATCCAGTCGTTTCGAAGGTCATCATCTGAACTGGACCATACACATCAGTTGTCTCCTAGTTTCCATCTGTTGTTGAACAAGAATAGCAATATATACAATACTTCCAAGGTTTTAAAAAGGTAAAGGTTCCCTTGCTCGAAAGCCAGTCGAATCCGACTCTAGGGTTACGGTGCTCATCTCCGTTTCCAAGCCGAAGAGCCAGTGCTGTCCGAAGACGTTTCCGTGGTCATGTGGCCGGCATGACTAAACACCAAGGCGCACGGAGCGATGTTCCCTTCCCACCGAAGTGGTCCCTATTTATCTATTTGCAATTTCTTGATTTTGAACTGCTAGGTTGGCAGGAGCTGGAACTAGAGACGGGAGCTCACTCCGTCATGCGGCACCCGGGTCTCGAACTGCTGAACTACCGACCTTCCACAGCCTGCAGTTCAGCGTCTTAACCACTTGAGCCACCGCAGCTCCAAGGTTTTATTGTAGCATAATTCTGCAAGCAATCAACATTTTTTGTCTGGAATTAAGGTTGCGATTGAAGACGAGCCCTCTAAGCTTGAGTTTCGTCAACTCAATGTTTTGGCCCGCTCT